AGTGCTTCAGCCGAACTTTGTATTGTTTAAGTTATAGGCTCACACTATTAGATAAAACAATAAATAAATTAAATTGTCTGAAACGATTGTTTTAAATAATAAAAGCTTGGACTAATAATCACTAAAACTATGTAGACTTCTCAGCGAGAGGTACTTTGGTTCCACCAACACGGAGAAAGTTAGATTGTTTCCCGTTTTACATGCAAAACACATCTTTTTAAAAACTTAGATGTTCCACCTCTGTCTGCAGCCTGCATGCATCTCTTTGAAAAATAAGTTCCTACTTTTTTGTGATTACTGCAGATGAATTATTAGGTGTCTGGCCTATGTTTTTATCCACTGTTTTTGGTCTGTTTCAGTGGCAGTGTCACAGAAGAAATTGATGTTTTTAGGCAAAACTGTTTTTTTTTTTTTTTTATTAGGACAGTCTGTGAGAATGCCAGAGTAAAAATCTGAACGTTATTATGTTACAAAGCCAAGGTCTTAGGTTTTCTTACTGTGGAGATAAGTTTTATTCCAGTGCAAACTAGAATAATACAGATAAAACCATGTGGATGATCTGAAGGTAAAACAAAAAAACGTAAAAAAAAAAAATCAAAATAGGGTTACAAAACAAAATGAAAAAAAAAAACATGTAAAAAAAAATCTAAATTTGTGGCTAACAGAGGAAATTTGTTTGGGTTTTCATTTCAAGTGTTCTGGAAGCTATCAATGCAAGCTATGACCTAACTAACAGTCTAATATTTTATCCCTTGGCTTGTTTACATGTGCGTCAGTAATTGTGAGCTAACTGATTTACTCTTATAAACACTATGATTAAATGCATGTGTTTGGGTGATCCAGTCTGTTTGTATGTGCATATCTTTCTTTCGACATATCTGGCCGTCATGAAGCTGATGGAACCTTTTTGCGATGCGAGTTTCACATTTCACTGTGTTCCTGCACACACAGCGCACTCACACATGCACGTTTTCACTGTGTCCCTATTCAGCATGTGTCAACTTTAGATGACAGAAGGAAATGTTTGGTTAGCAGGACGACTGCAGCAACTTTCCCAAGACTGTTTATAAATAAACTGGCTCAAAATGGAAAAGCAAACTTGAAGACTGCAATGGAAATAAAGTGAAATATGAGCAGTGGGGTAAATTTCGAAACAGCTGACACAAGAGGTCTGAAAAAGAAAAACAGGTGAAAGACAAGTAGGTTTTTAAATAGTGATTATTTGATGATATTAACACAGCTGGTGGGGTTCCAGATGATGCCAGCATTGATTTAGCAATTAATATCATAAAGCCAATCACATCATAATCTACCAACTTTGGTCCACAGTATAAATTAGTTTACTGTTGGGGCAGATCATTCCTGTCATGAAGGCATTTCTAACTGTTGAGCTGTTGCTGATGTATGTTAGATCCACATACTTTAAGATCCTGACAAAATTTAAGAAGGAGGTTATGTATTGGAATTTTTCTCTGTAAATATCTTAAGCTCTTTTAGGTTTTATGTAAAATGTTAGTGAACAAATCAATTCAGAAGTCCTGCCAGGACCTACTACTGGACATACAGTAACCTTTCACTGTTATCTCATATAGAAAGTATTTCAAGATAAGTACTTCCGTGTTTCTTTATGTGTCTGCTCCAATCCCTGGTCAGTGGTGTTGAATGATCGTTAACAATGAATTCTGCTGATTCTTGCTCTTAAAAGGAGTTTTTCTTTCCACTGTTGCATGCAGATGCATGCTTCATATAATGTCATTGCTGCAAAGTGACTGATACAATCCAAGGGACTGCCCAATGCTGCTACAGTAAATGCCTATCCAGCAGGACTGGGTTCTGCAAGTCAATGACTCGGTGCAACATTTTGGGTTTCCTCTGAGATTAAACTGTTTAACCAATCTGTCTAAGTTTTTTTTTTTTTGGCTCTGTAAAGTACCTCAAGATGACATGTGATGTGAATTGCCACTGTATGAATAAACTGATATGATTTTCATTTTAACCAAATTCTCAATCATAATTTAATCTAGACTTTAACTGGCCCATTCTAACAGATGCATGTGATATTTTTTAATCCTTCACATTTTGGGTTGCTGTCTTGCTGGTAAGTAAAAACCTCCAGTCTTGAGTCTTTTGCAGCCTTTGAAAAGTTTCTGCCTGGATTGCTGAAGAAAAGCCCTCCTCAAAGTGCATGTGGAGTATAACCCCCCTTTATATGACTGCATGGTGTGTGTTTAAGGTGATTTTGGGTGTTAATCTTCGGTCACATAGAGCCTTTTTCCATGACTAATATTTCAGATGTTGGCAGATTCTCCATGAATAACTGTATATCTGTGCAGGTCCTCCAGAGTTCCCATTTTCCTTTTATCACACAACTTTCTCCTTAATCAGTGTGATGTTTTACCTGTTCTTTGTGAACCTAACTATTTAAAATGCAGTCTAACAAATCTCTAATGCCTTTAAAAGAGCTGCTTCATTTATATTAAGGCTATATTACGTATAGGAAAATACAGATGTAAGCACTGAATTTTAGGAGTATGAGAGCTACTTTAAACTTATTTCAAATCTCTGCATCCTTTTCTTTCAACATTCCAAATCTATTTTTTGCTGGTCTATCAGAATAACCACATAGGAAATTGTGTTTCTTTAATGTGAAAAAGTACCGTAATTATATTCATTAAGCAGTGTGCCTCTGGAAAGAAAAAAAATATGCATACATTTTAAAGCCAAAGATAGATATTTAGTACAAAATTAAAGAATGATGTTAATTTTGACCTGGAGCCTGGATTGTGAGTCACATGGTTGCTCAAATTATCCTATTTTATGAAAAAATAAATTCTCATTTACCTGCTCAGATTAAGGGCAAATATCCTAATTTTAAGAACATTATAATTTTAAATTACGTTTTGCTCTGTCATTCCAAAATAAGTCATAGGATGGTATGCACTGAAAGAACAGACTCCACTCCAATCTTAGATCCAGCGAGAATTCTTTCTGATCTTGTTTTGGGATTTATATACTTCCTGCTATGAGAATATCTATCATGATTTCAATAAGTCTTACAAAGTGCAATTGTCTCATTGCATTGGCAGATTATTGCACTTATTTAAGTAGAATCTTCTCAAAAGCAATCTTCTCTTACTTAGTTTATCAGTCTCCAAACAAGTAGAAAAAAAAAAAGATTTTTGACAAGACCCAGATTAGATGGAGAATTTTTGCAGCATGTAACTGATTATAATTGATTCAGACCAAATTTAATCATTCACCTTTACAATTTACTTAAAAAAAATCCAGTCACCTTAAAACTTCAGCCATATTAAGATACAATCAAAGTTTCCTCATCTTTTTTTTTCATGGGGACACAGGCAGGTTCTCCATGAATAACTGTATATCTGTGCAGCTCCCCCTCACGGTTAACTTCATCTAAAACTGCCAATGCTGGGATTTATTGCAAAATAAGGTGATGTTAATTATAACACCTTAACACCACCCTGGAGAGAAATATCAGCTATGCTGCTGCCATCAACACCTTTGTTTATAGACGTTGGAGTTCTGCCTGTTTTTCAGTGTAGTCCTGTTTCTCTGACTGTGACTGGCTGGATGTGCTCTCTTCATCTTCTGACATGGGAGCTAGCTCGGAGCTGGTCTGTCTGGCTGTGTGTTTCCTGGTCGGGCCGCCTTTTTGTCTCAGCAAATGGCCGCTGACACTGAGCCTGGTTCTGCTGGAGGTTTCCTTCAGTTAAAAGGGCGTTTTTCCTCCCCACTGTTGCCATAAGCATGCTTAGTGTGAGGGATTGCATTTGAGTCAAGAGTCCATGCAATCAACTGTTTTTCCTTAGATAGAAAACTTTGAATCAATTTCATTGTATGATCTGGTGAACTGTAAAGTGCCTTGAGATGACTTTTGTCTTATAAAGGAATATTCTGCCAAAACTTTTAAGAGAGTTTTCTGTGCATTTCTTCCATAATGCTGTTAGGTCTGAGCGAATAAAACCTTTTTCTGAGCCTGTTTGCTTCAGGTGCGCTGCGCGCCGCGGACGCGCGCCCCGCCTGCTCGCACCTCCCACTTGTCCGCAGCTGGTTGATCCGCTCTCCTCCCTCCTCCCTCTCCTTACTGAGCGCCTCAGTTGAAGTGTGGCAGACTTGGAGCGAGTCTTCAGTGCGCTGCAGTGATTCCCAGCTCAGCCTAAACGATGTGTTCCGGCTAAAAGTCTTCTTTGCTGTAAGACAACTTTTCCCACCCCTTCTTTTTCGGGGTTTTCATTGAGAAACACGCTCATAAAGTGGATAAGGACTTTGATCTGAAGCTGCATTCCAACAGGCTCTGGATTATACTGCGCCAAGGTAAACTTTCCTATAGCGCTTCTATTGAGCGCACACCTCTCTTCTTTATTAGTTGAACATTTCAGACTTTTTTTTTTTTTAATAACGCTTCAAGTTCAAAAGAAATGCACCAGATCAGTGGGGATGCTGTAATGTTGATGCAATTTGGAGGTAACCAATTCATTGTTTTAAAATAAGTGCTGGATTCGGATCTGTGTGCGCAAACAGTGCGCTTTACATGCCAAAGACAGTCCTCCAGCCTTGTTCTGCAGCAGCAGTGACTCGCATTCCTCCGCACCCGGTGCGCAGGTCAGGACCACGGGTCAAAAGCTGGTCCAGTGCGCGCTCTCAGGGGGAGGAGGAGAGAGACCGAGATAGGAGGGTTCCCCGCAGAGATATGTGGAAACAGGATTAGTTCTTATCTTTCTGTCGCTTCTTCAGACCTGCTAGTGTTGGATTTGTCGGATTAGAGGTTGTTATCTGCTCCCTCTCCACGGCTCCAGCCTGACCTCTGCCTGTTTTATCATCCCATTTTATTTGCACCATGAGCTTGTGATGCCCAGGGGAGAAACTGAGGGAGTCTGTCTGCCCTGTCAGACTCTAGCAGGTTTTATCCATCAGCAATTCCTTCTCTGAAAATGGTGTGTGTTGTTGGAGTTGACTAATGTCAGGCTTTGATAGAAAAATAGAGAATTAGGCTGAGATTGCTTTGACATCAATATGGGCCTATTTTCTATTAAAATTTTTCGACTGTGATAAAATTTAAAGGGATATCAATTAATTAGATTATTACAAAAAAAAAAAAAAAAAAAAAAAATCACTTCACTTATTCGGTTCAAAAAGTAAAACTTGCAAGGATTCATACCTAAAGCTAAATTTAAAACCAAAACAGTTTATAAAGAAAAACATGTATACCCGCAGGACAGGTGTCCTGGGATGTTTTTGTCAGAATGTCTCAGTTATATCTTTATACTGGAGCTGAAAAAGCTATTTACTAACAATCAACAGCAATATGCATCTTTGCAATATAGAGATTGTAAAATAATCTTTGGTTAAATGCTACATTTTTATATATTTATGGTCTGTGCATTGATTATGAACATAATGCCCACATCTTATATTTTGTTGGCCGTAGTAATAGAAAATAGTAATAGAAAACCTAGAGGAAAATGTTGGAAAAAGATAGAAAAAAAAGATAGAAAAGCTTAATTGTAAATGTCTTTACTACAATTCTGAAATATTGAAATGACATAAAATGGAATATAAATAACAAAACTATTTTGTAATGCAGTAGCTACCACTAATTATAAACTAAATATGACTTTATTTTCATACAGAGCTCATAATCTTGCTTTTATTTGAAGTTTTTAAACAATGACTTATACCTAGCTGTAAAACCTTAAAATTAATCTGTATCTGGCAAGTTAATTTATAAAAAAAACAAACAAACCATAATTTAAACAGCTAAATTGCAATATTATTTTTGAGTATTCCAAATCAATATTTGGAATATGGAAGAGTAACTTCCATTTTCCTATTTTCCTCTCTTTTTTCCTCTTCTGTTTCAACCTTATTACAGTATGTTCCCCCTCGTCTCACTGAGCATTAACCTGCAATGCTTGCTGAATCTGAAAACAAAGTAGTTCAAAACCAAATCCAGTGTACAGGAAATTGCATGCATGCAGTCCTTTTGATTTTTTTTTTTTTTTTTTTTTTTGTGCATAAAAATATTTTGTTAATGACTGTGATTTAGTATTTCCTGCTCTAATTTAAACTTCTGATTGTGCAAAAACCCACCAATCAATATATCAAGAAAGAAAGAGAGAAAGAAATGTAAATATATGATATCTTTGTGAATTGGAACATTTTGTAGGTATATTCTTTGTTTTCAACTGTTTAAAATATTAATAAATGATAAATACTAAGTTTTATTCTTTAGGTCTATTCTGTTCCTTTAAAATAATTGAACCCTTTGTACCATAGTCTATATATTAAATACCTTATTACTATTTCAAGCCCTTCAGTATACCCTGCATGATGATTTAATGGTAGTAAATAATGTCTGTAATCCTTGAATGAGTTGTGCGTTTAATAAGAACCAAGAGCCTTATTTTAATATCAAGCTGGCGTCTTTACATCATATTGAAACTTGCTGCCCTCATTGTCTAATCTGTAGGGAGTGTGAGGCCCTAAAAGCCTGAAGGGGACCATGAGGATGGGAAAAACAAAGAAAGGTGGAGGGAGAGGGATGTCAAAGGTAGAGGCAGAGAGCACAGCAAACATTCCTGCTTCGGTGTCTCAGCAATTTAATTAAGGTCCTGTTAGATGCAGCAGTGAACACCTCGAGGTGAAGGCTTAACCCAAAACTAGCCCCTCACCCTCTAAGTTTTAGAAGTTTGACTAACCCCAGAGGGTCAGATAATAAGTGTTTGGTGTCATGCTACCATGACAACTAAACAGTGAGGAGCAGAAAGGAAAACTCACCAACCAGGGAGTTAATAACCACACAAGTAAAGTTAAGGAGCTATGAGGTAAAGAAGATGGGGCTCTGCACTGAGTGGTGCTTGTTGGTTTATTTGCTATCAGTCACATTAGGGGGAAAAACACACTGATACACACAAGCTGGCTCCCCTGCTCAGGTCACATTCTGGTCACTGTACCAATTTTTCTTAATGGGAAATAAAATCAGTGAGTAATGGGGGAATGTTTTTCTAAAACCCATAAACTTAACTTTGGCTTGACCCTATTTCCATTACATCTTGTGCACAAAGATTTTTTTTTTGCCTCTTAGGATTTTAAAATGCTATTAACTTCCAAACCCCTTTTCCAGCTTTATTGCTCCAATATCCTGTTCTGGTTAAGCATGTGCCTTTTTAGGGGGAACAGAATGTCAAAAAACGTTTCTTGCTCATTTAGATATTAGATTGTTAGAAAATAGACAAAGGTTCTATTTTTTGTCAAATTAAAAATAATACAAAATCATGACTGATCATATACTTTCCACTACAGAGCAGAAGTTATTTTTCCTTTTTCACATTAGAGAACCAACAGTTACATTTTATAGTGGGGTTTAGGGGAGTTTGACAGGTTTGATATGGATAAAAACAGATTTTGTCTGTTAACAATATTTCAATCTGACAAACTCACATGGAGAGAAAAGACAATTAGAAGAAATGTATTGATACAATACTTGGTTTTTGGCGCTCAGAAACTTGGCAGGAAACTTAGCACTGAATTTTGATAGATATGCATGAACAGGATTAAAGAACAGGGCTGTTTCCCCCCAGGCCTGAAACCTGTCCATGATGAGCAAGCATGAGGCGACAGTGGAGAGGAAAAACTCTCCATTGTGAAGAAACCTCTGGCAGAACCAGGCTCAATATGGCTGTCTTCTGCCAGACCGGTTGAGATAAAACAGGGAACGCAGTAAGAGTCCGGGAGGAATGAAACGGATGAAGCTTTAGCTACGATGGTGGAGGAGGGACTGGAGGTGGGTTGAAAAGGTGTCATCTGAATGAAGTCACATGGCTGGATCACACGCCTGCACACAGGAGCAGACGAGTTGCGGATCAGAGGCCTTTTAAGATGAACTTTGGATGCCGATTGGCTTTCATGGAAGCATAGTTCAAAGCTGATTGGCTGTGTGGTAGGCGAAGGAAGGCGAATAATCAGTTTATTCAGTTGAACTTCCGCCTAGGCTCCATTTTGTATTTCAAAACAAAGAGGGAACTCTGGGAGCAAACCCTAAGCGGCACAGTCACCTAAATATGGGCGAAAGATTTATCAGCGATATATTAATCAATGGTTGTACGCTCTCTCATTGGTTCCTAAAAAATTCTATCCAGACACTGAAAAGAGGGAGTGCCCACATTTACTTTTCCTTATCCTCAAAGGCCAGAATCTTGTGACAGCTGAGCAGGTTATGAGTTTCTGTTAGACACCTTGTTTCACTCCTGGTGCCTGCACAGCATAATGATTGCCTCACCTCTCACTTTAAAACTCATGCCCTTACCATAAAAACTGACAGGAATGGTGTCTTTTTTTCCTATAAACTGGCTTGACTGTTGCTGTTTTAAAGCCTGCTGCAGGCAGATGGTCTAAATATTGGTTTGCAGGAACAGCAGAGACAAGCTGCAACTTAATCTATTCAGAAAATTCCTTCTTTATCTCTAACTACCATACACCTATGGCCAAACTAGGCTAGCAGCAGATGTTCTGTTTTTAATTCCCATAAGATATGAGGTCGTCTGGATCAGGATTTATTGAACTTAAAAGCCACACTTTAAAATATTACCAAACTTCAATAATTATTTTTCCTTCTGGAAAACAATGTAAAAAAGTATGCTTAATGCTAACATACAAATTAAAAGAATTTATCAAAAAGAAAATACTGCGAAAGACCATTGCAAATGCAAGACAATTATGTCATCCATAATATAAACATAATGACATATTTTTAGAGCATAATTATATTTATAAGAAGCAAGGAGAAAAGTTTTGTACATAATCAACACTGCAAAAAAAAAAATATAAAAAAAGTGTATAGAGATATGGAGCCTAGGCGGAAGATCAACTGAATAAACTGATTATTCGCCTTCATTTGCCTGCGTCACAGCCAATCGGCTTTGAACCATGCCTCTACGAAAGCCAATCAGCATCCAAGTTCATCTTAAAAGGCCTCCGATCCGCAACTCGCGTGCTCTTGTGCGCAGGCGGTGGTTGCGCCGTGTGACTTCATTCAGATGACCCCTTTTCAACCCACCTCCAGCCCCTCCTCCACCATCGTAGCTAAAGCTTCATCAGAGTGTAATTCCTCCCGGACTCTTACTGCGTTCCATGTCTCATCTCAACCGGTCTGGCAGAAGACAGACATGGTGAGCCTGGTTCTGCCAGAGGTTTCTTCACAATGGGGAGTTTTTCCTCTCCACTGTTGCTTCAGGCTTGCACATCATGGACAGGTTCTCTCAACCTGTGTTATCCAACTGGACTTGAATCTTCCAGGTCCCTGAATGAAGCTGTAG